CATCATGGTGCGGGGAGCCATAGGGTATGACATCATGGTGCGGGGAGCCATAGGGTATGACATCATGGTGCGGGGAGCCATAGGGTATGACTTCAGATCATCTCTGTCAGTGATTCGGGGGACCCTGACAGCACAGCGCTATGTCATTGACATCCTGCGTCCGCATGTCTCCTCCTGAGACAGCACCCTGGTACAGTCTTTCACACAGACAATACCCATCCACACACAGCATGCGTGTCTATTGCTTGCGTCATGTTGAGGTCCTCCCATGGCCAGCCAGGTCCCCCCATCTTTCCCCAATCTAACATGTGTGGGACCAGCTCAGACGTCAACTCAGACCCAGTGCCAATCTGCAGGGTCTTGAGGGCCAGTTACAACAGCTGTGGGCCGACTTGCCGCAGAAGAGGATACAACAGCTGAATGACTCCCTTCCGCATGTATCCAGCCCGCGGGGGGGTGCCACACCCTACTGACATAGGACCAGCAGTGTGCCCGTACTATCAACTGTGTCTGTTTGATCTGATACTATAATCATTGTGATACAGTCACATGACCTTTATGTTGGCTCTGAGTATCTTTTTTTTTTTTTTTTTTTCATTGTGATACAGTCACATGACCTTTATGTTGGCTCTGAGTATCTTTTTTTTTTTTTTTTTTTAAATAATATCAGCCAACAGCAACATGTTAACCGATATATTATGCATCTCTATATAGCTTTATGATTTGGTGGCAAGTCAGAAGCCTTTAGCAATGAAAGGCTAACATCTTTGTTTTTGGAATTATTATAACAATGTTGAGAAAGAGAGGTTTGTTAGGGGTAGGTGCTGACACCCAGTGACAATATGGCACCAGTTCCTATAAAATGAACCGTACTGCAATGCAGATTTCGGCCCCAGCGAATGTCGAACTTCGTTTTGTGCTTTTATTTTTTTTTTAAGGTACTGCTTCAGGCACCGGCACAGTATTTAAAAGTTTTAAATCATTTTAGCACCGACATCAGAACCCAAACAATACTCAACCCTACTCACCACTTTGGGAGGTTATAGGAATTACACACTATGGGCATTAGAGATGTCAGTCAGCCTTACTGCATGTCTCAGAGACCCAGGGTGAAACTAGGGGGCTCTGGGAGAACCTCCAAACTCCACAGTCATAGAATAGGTAGAATAGATTCAAACCCTGGGGTTGGGAGGCAAGAGCGCCACCTACTGAGCCACCATGAATCCCCCAGCGAATTAGTCCTTAATTACAAATCACTTTAATAAGTGAAGGACAACAGCACAGGAGAAGGAAAACAAAAACTAATTTTTTCAGGTCCCTTCCAATAAATTATCCAATTTTTTTTTGTAGCTTTGCTTCATTCCTTTGTTCCTGCAGTTTGTGAGCTTGATGTCCATGTTGCCCCCTGCTGGCAGCTTGACAAACAAGCTTCTATTTATTTAAAAGCAACCTCTACGAAAGAGAATCAGTTACAGGATCTTATTGCAGGCAAAACATTCTGGTGGTCACGAGATAATGTATTTCTTTGCATCGTCAATGCGAACTGTGTCTAACGAGCGAACAGAAGTGTTTCCTCATACAGTAAGACCGTCTTTGTTGGGAAAAAAAGGATACCGTCCACATGGAGAATTTTGATGCCCCAGGAGCTAGCGTTGGCCAGGACACTGGTCCCCGAACAGCGTTCCTGCTCAACACCACGGGAATGATTATCAAGGGCCAACAGTGCGAATGGCTCACATCTGAAGCTGAGAGCTGCCATTATAAGCATCATCCTTAACTCACCAGTACCACATCTGGCAAATTCAGGACGACTTAACAAAACTAAACTTGTCACGTTTACCCTTGCCTTCTTCATATTAATGATTTCATAAAGACTATAGATAATGGAAGGTTTCACGCACGAGGACTTACATTGCTACGGATGGCCCTCTCCAGTAGGGCCCTTCCACGGCTTCTGTACGCCTGCACAGCCAGCATGGTATGGTGCTCGTTAACAAAACACCATTTTGAAAAATTCAACTACAACTACAGTGTGACCAAATACAGCATATGAAAGACTACAATGATAAACCGTTCCAGTATTAAATTCCAGTTAAAGACGACTGCAACAGATATGGTTAAGAGAGAGAAACTTACTTGAGGTCTGGGAGTAGCAGTGCGCTGACTGGTGCCACTGCAGCCGCCCTGAGCTTGCCGGTGACGGGAGGAAACTGGGGGGCTGTCCACTGCAACCTTCTTAGGGCCCTCCCCTTCCTGGACAGACTGCCAACCCTGCCAGTTGTCCCGACTCCCCGAGACCACAAAGGTCACATCCTTATTAAGGAAGCTTTCCACTTTCTGCAAAGGGACATAACGATCACACTGGACATGAAACACAATCTGCATCCATCATGTCATCATATATACAAATCACGACTCATCAAACAGCCCAAAAATACAGTATTCATTTGAAAAGGTAAGCAAACTTCTCTTGCAGCAAGCTAGACCTTCAGTTACATTAAGTTGCCCCCAATAAATTGCCAGGCCCACCACTCCCAACATGGTTGTTCCCCCCATCTGGTTCCATACCCCTCCAAGACGGGCTATAGCCTCAGCAAGCAGGGCAGAGGAGCGGCTTCGCACAGCATCCAGGTAAAAAGTCTTCCCCTCCAGCTGCCGCACCCCCGGAGACAGCGCCCCCAGCAGGTCCTGCACCCGCGGCCGGCGCTGCATGACCTCCATCTGCCAACAGAACGTCTGAACCATTGCATTATGCTGTTTACCACTCACAATGTCATCACCACCGCAAAACCTTACCTTAGCGAATAACAAATATTACTACCCGAAACTGAAAACACAAACTGATATTTGAAAACGTATTTGGTGCAAATGTAAACTTTATAGTACACAAATTGACTAAAAAGTATAGTGTGCACAAACACCGGGGTACAGATGATGATGATAAAAACTCATTAGCCATCAATAACTTGTTTCGCTGGCTGGGGGATTAAATAAACACATGGCGGCACAGGTATTTAAATAACAATAACACGAATCCTCATAGTGCACTGTTAACTAACTCATACATAATGATTATCTTAAGAGTCAAAACCTTTGTTTAAATCTATAGTAATAGCATTTAATAATAATTAACAATAATTAACAACTGACCTCAACAGACTTCCACACTCCCTGTTCTTCCCAGCTCCATTATCAAGCTTTGAAACTGCCCTCCTGTTTGCATCCGGGACATTCCCTCTGTGCTATGGCTCGCCAACTGGGACAATTCACTCTCAGCGATTCAAAATACCTATGCGTTAATGATCAATATATCGCTGCTACGTAGGCCTGTCCGCTCATTGATCAAGCCTTCGATGAATAGACATACGATTATTGGCATTGCACATTTTCCTTAATTCTATATAGAAAAGATAACTTTCACCCCTTTTCTGATGATTAAAAAACCATTTATCCATTTTCCAACCACAGGGTTGCCAACTCTCGCGCATCTGCCGTGACGGTCACGCTTTCAGACTCTCACGTTCATGCAAGAAATCTTACGGCAAATCTATATTATTCCATCATAAACCTAAAATTAACTACATCAAAAACATTGGGGCAGTTTGCAAACCCTACAGATTATTTACAGGGTAATAAAACTATTACATACACGTAAATCAGTGTGCGGAGTTCAGGAGTTGTCTCAAATTGAAAATCTCACTCCAGCCAGCTGACCGAAGTCGGCAACCCTGCAACCACTCCTCAACAGCATCTTGCCCATGTTTAATTACACAAAGTGCCCAAAGTCAGACCTGAGCACAAGGAAAGGTCCGATAAATTACAGCCATCGGCCTGAAATAGAAAACATAAATGTCATGTTATACAGTTCCTGTTTAGTGCCTTGTCCTCACACACACTCACACACCCATCAGTCACCTTTATGAGATATCACGAATAGAACCTGTTTTCTTTGGACTGACAGACTTCTTCCAACCACATATCTTGGTCAGGTTAACAAGGCAGGAGTCGGATTGATTTATTGTACAGTGTTGCTCACTGTAAACGCTGAATGGATGGACCTGAGTGCCATCTGGGTGGTATCAGGACCACTGAGACCCACCTGCACAAGTGAATGACACAGGAATGAAAAGTTAAAATGAGCAGGATTTCACATCATTACCAATATGTACTGTAATCAGCTGAAAGAAGCAACATTGTGTACGAAAGTGACGCTACTGATGTCCTGATTTGAATGACACTTTTTGTTCAAAGAAACGGTTTGGAAAATGGACACAATTTTTTATATTAAAATGTTCCTGCTTTAGAAGCATTTTATTGGGTGCTTAATATTCCATGCTTCAATCCTGAAAAGTTAATTCACAGCAGTAATACAAACATGCACTATTCTTATCAAATGAAAGAGATGTAAAAACGTCAGAGATAATTTGCGCTGAGCCTCTTAAGCTGAGGGAAGGGACACCTTCCACAAAGAAGCATAATTAAGGAGGCTATCTAAAGAGCTTTAATTTAATACCACCAGTGTTTATATATCACCCTTTCCGGTATAATTGCCTTAGTTTAGGCTTAGAACACACAGGCTCACAAAAGACACAGCAGTTACACAGTGGTACAAAACCAGAGGTAAGTTTAACTAAGACCAGCCAGGTTAAATCAATCTAAAACAGGACTTTTTATTGTATTTAGGCTATGTACTGAGAGATGGAAATCCTTTACATTACTTAACAAATGTTTGTGTAGATTATGAACCCTTCAGATGAATGTTGCCTTAAAATCCAGTTTTTTTTTTTAACTTATTATGGAAATTAAAAGGATGACTGCATTTTGATATCTGGATTACATCCAGCCATCGGCCCTGTTAGATAGGCAGGGGCCTGGCCTTTCAAAGCCACCTAAATGAAAAGAAGTTCATCAGATTTCTGGAACATAGCAGGGAAAACAGAACATGTGCGATGTGCTCATATTTTCTACTTTTGTTTATGATTTCTCACTGCAACATTAGTTCACCGAAGGGCAGAGAGTATAATTTGTGCTTCCTGGCACAAATTCCTTAGTCTTTGCAACTAAGGACAGATACACATACTTCACTCACTATGCAAACAATCAGGGTTAACATGACAGAAATGTGTCAAAAGTGACACCTACGCTTACGTTTACAAAACAGTAATGCAGTTCTAATGTAAGACTATCCAGTTTTGTGGGCAGTGGCCACATAAGTAACTCACCCTTTTTCTTCTTTCCCTGATCATCTCCCCACCACAGGCTTCTAGATGCACTAAGGAAAGCAGAGCTGCCCCCTGACTGGGAAAATTAGCAGCCTCCAGTTGTGTCCTGTTAGCACTCCTCATGGTTTACTGTTCGGAAACCACAGTTACCATTTCCCTGTTGGTGCTGATCGCCCTCTGCTGGTGCACAAGGAACTCCCAGTGGATTGTCACTCTACAATATTAAGGTTCCACAAACTTAACAGAGGAAAACATGAAACAGATTCCCATAAAGTATCTTTAAACTATTATGATGAGAAAGTTAGCTATTTCCTTTTGTCCAAAGGGACATACAAGAAAGAATTCGGGAGCAGGGTCAGAGGGCCCCAAGGTGACATTACTCCACAATACACAGGACTGGAGTCCTAGCCTGCACAACCATACATTTTTTTTAACATAGATCATCTTATGAACTTGAAGATTAGATTAGTCTAAGATTAGTTTAATCAGAGTTGGCAGTAGAATGGTTAGTGGTACTCAGGGGGCACTCTTACAGAGGATAGTCTACTGCAGGGATGGCCAGTCTTATCCACAAAGGGCCGGTGTGTGTGCAGGTTTTTGGGATAAACTGTAGGTCAGCTGTTCAAACCCAGGTGTGAGGACTCATCAGCCAATCAGTCCTCTAATTAGTAATCTAATTAGGGAGTTGCAGCAAAAACCCGCATACACACAGGCCCTTTGAGGATAAGATTGGCCACCCCAGGTCTACTGTATCATTACAATAAATTAATGTTTAAACATCTCTGAGCCATTAAATGATCAAGAGGCCTGCCCACTCAAAAATGTTGAAAGCCCTCTACTAACAGAACAGGAAAACATTTTACAACACACTGTGAAAATATTCTGGCAAATTATTTATTACAAGTTTTATTTATTACAAGTAACTTGCAGAAGATAACCGTTTATTTAAAAAAAGCCAATATAACAATCATATAGTAAGTTTAAGAAAATTGGCAATGAATATGTTCCATTTCTTTAAAAAATAACATTACAAAACAAACTTCAGTAGAAAAATTAATTGCTTAAGTGTGTCTAACACTCAATGGAAATGAAATGAACCTACAAAATGAATTAAAAACTTTTAAATTATGTAAATATAAACCTTCCATTTTAATGTAGTGTAACATGCATCCTGTTCTCCCTTCTTAAAGACAGTCAAACTACAACATAACTTTACATTTCACTAAAGAGCCCTTTGTGACTAATAGTGTCTGGTCTTTATGTGGGAAAGGGTTCTTTTGGATCCTCGTACTGTACCATAAGACATCTTTACATTAACAACCTGCATTCTTTTCAAACATTTATATGACTAAATGTGAATTTGTGGATCTGCAACGAAACAGTCATCTCTAGCTGACATTGTGGAAACACAAATATGTGTAGCAGTCATCATAGGATAATAGTACGATCTTGACCTGGTCTTCATTTTAGGAAAACCCAAGAGGAATTAGCTTTTTTCCACTGCATAAAAATGAGATCACCAAGAACCGTTTCTTTTTCCTATTACTAAACGTAAATTTGAGTCAGATTTTAGGGTTAAGTAAACCATAGGAGAGTTGGAACGTACCGGGACGTGTGTTTGTACCACTGACCTCCAGAGGGCTCCCAAGAGCCAGCAAATGTAATGTAATGAATGGATGACAGTGTAAGACAATGCCATCATGCACCAAAAAAGAGAAGTAAAAGTCTTTCAGTGATACATGAATTATTTAAGGGAAAAATATTCGGAGCTTTAAATTTGTATTTCACTGTATACCAAACAGTAAAATACCAACTTCATCCAAAACTTACTGATGAAACTACATTCAATGAAAAGATTGAGATGATATCTCAGAATGGAAAAGCATGTAGAATAAAATAATGGGCCATTGTATAAAAGAATGACAAAGCACTGCAGGGGTCTTAATAAAAGGTGAGAGAGGCACTACAGAACACACCAATCTCAAGGTGGACCTGAATGAACCTTCACTGCAGTCACTGATGTGAGCATTGAATCATGGCTAAGAAATCGCAGTGAATTAATTTAATGTCACTAGGTGTCAGCTACATCAGTTACTGCGCCTCCTCCCCAACCCCATTCCCACAGTGGATAGAAAAGTTGTGAAAGGTGCTGGCTGGAGGACACCAGACTGGAAGCCATGGGTGACCTGGGGAGAGCCTGGATGTGACCTCAGTACGCAGGTATCAGCACCGTCTCCCTCCATCAGCTTGCGCATGCACACTCTGCAATGGCCGCTTCCACCATGTAGGATTTTAAGGCATTGAATTGTGTTCTACTTTTCCTCCACAGTGATGGTGGTATGGAGCAGTCAAACACCCATAAACCTGGGCACTGTTACCAGGCCTAAGCCACTCTCTCCTTCATCAGGCACAATATGACATCAATTTCAGCACATTAACATAACCCAACTGCTTTTAATTCACAAAAACAGCTACTTTTTTATGGCACCTGATATAACCCTGTAAATACCCTTAATTAGAAATACCAGATGGTGGTCGTGTCAGTGGGGTGTCGGGTTTTGACCATATCCACAGATCAGGCCCGCTCACAGCAGCCTGCCTACCACAGTGGAGATGGGGTGTGTTTGATATGTAATTAGACTCTACAGCTTGACATAGTTTCACTGTCTAACAAGCTCCTCTTAGTATGACTGAGCAGGGAATCAACTGCCACATATTTTTGGTGCCAATAAATGGCAAATGGCAGTTACACCAGTCTGTCCCCTGTCTGCTGTGTGGTGTCTTTGGGCAGCTAGGTTGACAAAAGTGGTACAGTAATATTTTTCCTGTTGATGGCAATGTCCCGTTAATCCAAGCAAAAACTTTCTTCTTTTTTTTTTTTATAATTTCATTTCCCTTTTCAACTGATTTGCCAGTTTCTTGGAATTGGATTTCAAAGCTGATGCAAAACATGTGCTCTGCTGCTGGATTCAAGTATTTAGTGTTGATCTTTTCAAAAGTACCCCGAGACAGAGACATAGATACAAATACATAACTGACAGTATGTAACAGTACGAGGATTACGGAGAATAACTTAGGTGGAGCTGGGCAGGTTTGGGTCACCTGTCAGATCCACACAGAGGGCTTCCCCTCCATTGACTTGCTGCTGTTACTGCTGCTGCCCCCGCGGCAGTTGTCCTTGTTGTTCCCATTCTTGGCTCCCGAGCGATGTTTGTGGTCCTGGTGCAACTGGCTCACATTGCTGTGGTTGCTGTCATTGTGGCACTGCTGGCCGTAGGCTTGGATAGCAGCATCCAGCCTGTCCTGGGCCTGCTGTATGTCCTTCTGAAGGGCGCCGCGCATGTCGGCAGCGAGGAGGTTGTCCTCACTGCCCCCAAACTGCCGCTGCTCCTCCTGGGCAATATTGGCCCTGTTCTGTTTGCACACCGTCTTGCCGTTGCTCAGGTCCGTAAACTTCATCTGCTCGGGCTTCACCACAATGTTGTAGCCTGGTGGGGCTGAGGGAGCGTTCCACAAGAAGGGGTAGCTCCCATAGGTCTCCTCAACTCCCGCCTTGCCCACCGAGACGCTGGGTCTGCTGCCCAGCCGGTACTCGCCCTCCTCGTGCGGGGCGTGGCGGCTGTGGAGGACGTCGTAGATGGTGCCCACTCCCAGGTGCAGCATCTCCCACACGTTTAGCAGCAGGCAGAACACAGTGACCCCGTACATGATGAGCAGGAAGATCGTCTTCTCGGTGGGCCTTGACACAAAGCAGTCCACCGTGTGAGGGCAGGGGTTTCTAGTGCACTCATATAGGGGGGAGACAGAGAAGCCGTAGAGGGCGTACTGACCCGCCAAAAAGCCCACCTCCAGTAGCGTGCGAGTGAGCAACTGTAGCACATAGATGCGCATAAGACCATCCGCTTTGATGCGTCTCCTCCCATCGTGTTGGACCTTAGCTTTTCCTTTGGTCACGGGCTCGTTGGGGCCACTCATCTCGGGGACCTCATAGATCATGGGGTCCTCCTCCTGGTCGTCCTCCGCCTCCTCCAAACCTCGGTGCTGCTTCCGGTTGCTGAAGAACATCTTCTGTGCTTTGTGTCGCCCAGACGTGCCCTCTTCCTTCCCCGCCTCCAAACGGGCGATCTTGTTGATGGCATAGCTGAGGTACATGAGCGAAGGCGAGGACACCAATATGATTTGGAAGATCCAGAAGCGCACGTGCGACAGGGGCGCGAAGGAGTCGTAGCAGACATTTTCACAGCCTGGCTGGTCTGAGTTGCACACAAACTTGCTCTGCTCATCATAATAGATGGACTCTCCGCCCACGGCGGTCAGCACGATTCGGAAGATGATGAGCACCGTCAGCCACAGCTTCCCCACGAAGGTGGAGTGGTTGTGAATCTCCTCCAGCAGCCGGGTGAGGAAGCTCCAGCTCATGGTGTCGGCAAGCCAACGGTAGATGGGTTGCACCACTCATTCACTCTGTGGGGGACAGGAGAGAACATCAGCAACAAGGCAAGGATTGTGCCGCTTAAAAAAGTCACACTAGACATGTACGACACTACTGCCTTACTTTCCAGTAAAAATCTATGTACAAGAAGCCGATGTCGAGTACCAATTAAAAGTCTGGACACACCTGATTTTAATGCATCAGTCTCTATTTCAGCTGTTATTCACCTTATAGTAAAAGTTCTGAAAGTAATGAAGTGTTACATATAAAACATTGTAATGTGCTCAATAACTCAAAGTTTTCTCAAATTTTCTTCAAAATTGCCCATTTCTGCTTTGATGAGAGACTATTGACATACTTTCAACCAGCTTCCAGATGTAGCCACCTGGAATGCTTCTCTAACAATCCTGAAGGAGTTTCCACAAGTTCTGGGCACAAGCTGGCTGCTCATACTCTTCGATCAAACTCATCCCAAACAAGGTCTAAAGGGTTTAGGTCAGGGGATTGTGGGGCCAGGTCATCTGTCGCAGTACGCCACTGCTTTCCTTCTTCACAAGGTGATGCTTACTACATTACCTTGAGGTGTGCAAAGAATATTCAGTAGATGTGTCAACACTTTTGTCTAGTATCATATTTAGCCATGCGGGTTAGGACTCTGTGCCCATGATTGGAAAGGTTGCCAGGTCAAATCCCAGGATTGATCATTTAAGACCATTGGTCTTGTGCTGGGCGGTAAACCGGTTCATACCGAAAACCGTTCTTTATTATTGTTATGATATGGATTTTTCTTATACCGCAATACCGGTTTAAATAGCCTACACAACGTTTGGAAAATGTATAAGGGGGGACCTTTTTCACTGCTGCACTGCTAAATATGTACTGCGAAAGATCAGAAACGGAAGATCATAGCTTACACTGGAGTTGAAAATAATGAGACACTGGGGTTGTCATTTTCACCATTATTGATACCAACAGTGTGGTTTTTGCCTCATTCGCCATACTTCACCACTACAGCGCAGGCGCGCGTGCACGCACACGCACGCACACACTCGCGCAGCCCCTCCCCTCCTCTCAATAGCCGCTGAACGCATTCGTGCTGGTTAAAACACACACACCGAGTTGGCCAAATATGGCATATGCTGCAGTTGAAGGCGCTTTGCAAGCTGCTTTAGTGAGAAAAAAAAAGAAAAAAAAAGTGCCGGTTGGAAGTATTAAACACTTATTAAAAATGTTAACTTGGTCAGTGCACACCTTAACATTAGCCGTTTATCTATAAGCAGGTAGCCAACAAACACGTTAGCCGTATGTTATCTTTAAGGTAGCAGATAGGCACAATGGCTAATAATAAAATAATACAGTTAGTGTGGGAACAATGCAAAAACATAAAACAAAAATGTGTCCTGTAAAATCCTGTAAAATGTGGTCAACGCCCAGTCATACTTAAAAAAAAAAATACCGTTGTATACCGTGAAACCGATATAACTCTGAAAAATACCGTGATATAAATTTTTGGTCATACCGCCCAGCTCTACATCGGTCCCATGATCAAGCCCCTTAAGGTCGTCATTTTGGTATTAGAGTTTTCCCCATAGAAATGAACGGAGAGTCCCCACAAAAATATAATTACAAACCTGTGTGTATGTGTATATTATTTTTCTTCTCCATGAAGCCAGAATGTCCTGCAGTAATCAGGTATATATAAACCAAAAGACCGAGAGGGAGGTCAGACAGCTGGGGAGGTGAAACATGCCTAGTCCACCTACAGTGTGTGATAATTATAGGACCTAAACCTTATGAAAAATGTCGCCTATACTTGCATTTTGCATTTACTTTTTATTTCCTTAGTAGACGTTTTTTATCCAAAGTGACATGCAATTGACAAGGTCAGACAATTTCCTTGTAACAATAAGGGTTAACCCTTACCCAATCCTAACGATTTCTGGCATTTTTGGCATTTACACATTGCAAACTCAGTACCCCAGCAACAAGCTTCACTACCAACGCAAGTAAACTTAAACTGGTTCCATGAATATCACAATTAGTTCTGTGTACTTCAATGGCCTCCCTAGTCACCAGATCTGAATCCAGTAATGAACCTTTGGGTAATGGAAGGGGAATTAGTTGAAGGGGTTAGAAGCATGAATATGTAACTGACAAATCTGCAATTACGCGATACAATCAACACAGACCAGAATCTGTCCTTCTAGCACCTTTTTCAGTCCAAGTCACAAAGAATTCAGGTTTTTCTGAGAGCAAAGCGGGTCCTATCCAGAATTTTAAAGGTGTTCCTCATAAAGTGAACTTATTTTGGGAGATGTGTTTCTGTAACTTTCATGCAGGTGAAGAATCCATATTTCTGCTACAAAGCATTACAAAGCAGACTAAAAATGTGATCTTCCTACATCTGTATGCAATAATGCTGAAATATTACACTGCCTTTGTGAACTGTAGAAAGTATGAGCAATTCAAATGCCAGAAGCAACATAGGCTTTTAAATAAATAAAATAGAAACAGAGCATAACCACCCAGCTTAGACAACGGCTAGCTGCAAAATCAACAGGGGCATCCTGCCAAAACATAATGCAGAACACATTCAGGGCAATAAGAGACACAACACTACAAGACAGACAGACAAAGGCAGACGCACACTGTGACCCAACATGAACAAGTAATTCTGTTGGTGGTTGAAGAACATCACAGCAGTCATGGTTGGTGGCCGGCGTTAGATGGGCCTGATGATGAGAACAGTGCTAATAGAATCAGCACCAGCAGAACTGGCCCAAGGCAGAAAGAGAGCAACAGAGTAACTGACTGTAACACTCAGTTAGCCTAAATGATGGATCAGAGTGTGTGCAGAGGCACCGGAGCAGATACTCAGCTTCCATAGGCTTCTGAAGCAGAAATCCAGGGCTACCTGCTGGGTTTGACGTTTGTGGAATACAATGTAAAAAGTTTTGCCAGAAACAACGGAATAAGTTTTCTACTTTAGCTGTTATCAGGAAGAAAAAATGGAATAAATGTAAAATGCCATGAAAGTGACAAAGGAACGGAGTGTGATGGAACATGACACTGTGATTTTTCTAGTTCTTCTAAACAGTATGTGACAGCTTGAGCAGGAGACATCCAGGAAACCCAGGAGAACAGTATGGACTGGCAGAGTTTGGCCTTGTGCTTCCTTGACTCTCACAAAGTCAGCCTGTGTTTCTACCAGCGCCCCATGTCCATGAGTGTCTGCTTATAACTCGTCTTACAAAGCCAAGCAGCTTTTATGGAGATGACAGCAACTTCTAATTATTGGCCACTTGATCCAAACATTGTCCCTCCATCAGGCAATTAAAACCGGGTGAGCTATTGCTGGCTAGAAGTCTGGATCTCTGCCCGCCGCACTTAATCATCAAACCTCGTCTTTAACGAGATGCCGCACTACTGTACAGACGCATTTTCTTTAAGTAAGCATGGAATTGATTGCTGTGCCCTTATAAGGTCATGGCTCAGCCTTTGAAGTTGGCTGCCAGGCTTGCAATATGTCAGTACTGATGAGTACTGGAGAGGAGTGAGTGTTCGTGAGGCCTCCACAGAACCCTTTAGAGGAAGAACGTTGAAATGGGCCAGCAGTTGGAGAAAGGGTGGAGGAGGGATGCTGCTATTGATATCTTTGTGTGGACAGTCCATTCATTTCTATGAGAAAAATGTAATTCCAATCAATGACAACCTTAAGCCTTAACCTTAACCATAAGTGACCCACCAAAATACAAGTCTTTAGACATTTTTAGTTGTTTTATTGCAGTCAGAGTTTTATAAAATTCAGCTTCCCTTTGTGGGGACTGAAAAAATGCCCACTGAGCCACCAAACAAGCAGAACATTCTAAAAATATAAAGGTGATATCAAATGAATCACTTCTACTTCTCCAAACTGAAAAGCGTTTTTTAGTATCAGTAGGTGCAGAAATGTTGGGATACTGCTTTTCAATATAATACAGCAGCCATGTAAAGCTATATTTATCTAGCGGCAGAACAAAATACAGCCTCTTTGGTATTAGGATTCAGGGGCATGTTTGTACAGCAGGTAGCGTAGTGCTAAAGGCCATGGGCATTGGCAAGTTTCTTAATGGAAATAAGCAATTATTAAATAATACATATATATGTTATGGGAGAGAAAACTGCCACGAGGTGTAACCTAGGCACCCTGTAAGAGCAGCCCAAACGCACCGGCCAAATCAGGCTTTTCCATAGCTACATATGCCTGTACTCACAGTACTAGGAGAAAAGTCATGGGACACTTGATTAATTCAGTGAAAATACTGTAATTTTATTGGTTTTATAATAAACATAATTACTTAATGCATTTTTTTACAAAAAATATACATCACATAACAAACAACCAGTAGTTTTAAGTAAAACATTTATTTAGTTATTCAGTAATAAATTGAAACCCAAATTCTAGTCCTAAAAGAGCTGTTCTGAGATAAAAAGTTCATTGACAAGCAGTTTCACTGGGTGCTTTTTAATTAGTAACACCTTTGCAATAACATGAAACACCAAACATTTGTTTAGTATCCCTTTGGGGCCATTAGCTACAATTGCAATTAACAGAAAAACAACTGAATGAGTCAGTAAAAAATGTTTGTGCTGAAGATATGTGCAGATATGTTAAACACTGCTTGTCAAAGGACTTTTGTCATGAAACCAATGAATTGCAACATTTTTACAGAATTAAGCAAGCATCCTAAGACTTTCTGTGAGTACTGTATACACATAAGTCAGTAATGTTACTATCATGCTACTAATGGTAATTTTTTGGGAATTCAAAAAGACAAAGTACTGTAGCACTGATAAGCCCTGCCTTTTCATCAACTCATTGTGCTGTTGCTGTGTAGTAACAAATGCAGGAATATGCATGCTCACAGAATGTGAAGTGTTCATTGTTATTCAGAAATGCTACCATATTGCTAAAAATGACTGGACAATGAAGTCTACGAGTAACAGAAAAGGGGCAGTGTGCCTGTGATCAGAAGGCTGCTAGTTCACATCCTGTGGCTGGCAGAGTGATGTCACTGTTGGGCCCTTGAGAAAGGTCCTTAACCTCAGTTGCTCCGGGGGCTGGTGACCCTGTGTTGTGACCCCCAAGCTTCCTGTCACTTGTATGTGTCTGTGTGCTGCATGGGGAGTAAGATGAGATAGGAAAACAGAAAAAAAACCCACTTTCCCCACATGAATTAGTATAGTATCACTATTCTATTCACAAAAAGTCCACATTTAAGCTAATTTGAAATGATCATTTGTGCATATGTCCTCGATTGCACTGCGCTCCTCATCCAGACAAAGACTGCAATCACAAGCTGTCAGTGTTTACAGACCCAAACCTTTTCCATCTGTGATACAGTATGTTACTCCCGTACTTCAGAAGTCATTCTAATTGATGCCTGCTTATTCTAGGGTATGATTGTGTGGTTATAATACAAAAAGACACCAAAGAGCTCTAACTCTTAGGACAAAAATACCTTTTCTACCCAGTTGATTCATTTGAAATATTCTTCTCCTGCCTCAGACCACACTAACGTATGACTCACCCTCATTCTGTAACATTAACACAGGCATTTAAGGAAAGTTCATACCTAGTCTGTAGTTGGTGGTTCAGAAAATGATTTTCTTATTTCTTTACAGTATGATAACTTTGCCAGTTGTGGATTCCCTGTATCCATCGTTTTTCTCCAACATGTACAAATACTCCCACTACTGTCAGCTTCGAAAGTGGGTCATATTAGGTGTTTTGATGAATCTGAAGCACCATGCTGCCTACTGCTCCCACCTCGGCTGGGCTCAGATGGTTGCTAACGCCAGCCTTGGCTACCTGAGACTCCTTCCATCCATCCATCCATCCATCCATCCGTCACTGTAACCGCTTAATCCCAACCGGGGTCACGAGGGGGACCGGAGCCTATCCCGGGAACAAGGGGCGCAGGCTGGAACCAACCCTGGGCAGATGCCAACACACCGCAGGGCGAACCTGCCCTCCCTATTTCCTGCTATATCACATTTTGCAGCTGTGTCAACATTCAGTTAGCAGAAACATCTCACGCAGATGGAGAAGAATTAATCACTATCAGAAGGGAGATGAGGAGGAACGCATTGGGTGTCCAGCAGAATAGAGGTGCTGTGAACCATGCCCAAAAATGGGAGTAGCAGGGGACTCAATATGCAGGCCGGGACAGAGTGATGAAGATGGGGATGGTGCCGGAACCAGCACCTCTGGCCATGCTGCAGGCCTGTTCTACTGGGTCACAAAGGGGAACCAGCCCTTTCAGGGAGAGAGGGCAAAAGGGGATGATTCTAGGCTCAAATCACTGCAACACAACTGAGAGCCAAATGGTAGAGTGGTAACAGTCATCTTCGTGTACAGTTAACTAAGGACCTGTTGTAACCTAGTGCCCTCTTGACATGAATGTTCACATAAAGGACAGACAGGAAGCAAGCTGACAGGGACCTGATACCCTGAGAAGTAGGCAGTATGGAGTGGGTGACTTTCACCAGCGCGCCATTCCAGACTCAGCCTTCTGACCGGGACATTATGACCTTGACCAGAGCCATCACTGCAGATACAGCATCATTTCTTTGCTGATCCAAAATTCTCAATGTGAATGGGGGTGTAGTCAGGTTTCAATACAGCCTTATGGTTTGTAGCTAATGGCAAACACAATGGGAAGCCTGGAATTAAAAGCAAAAATTCATCTTAACATGCAACAAAAGTATCTAACCAACCAATTGCTAAGGAATATCTTAGTTGGCAACAGCATAGGAAAGGTATGGTATTTTAATTTTTTTCTTTTTGAGACTACAAGCGTCCTACATACATTTATTTTATCCAATATTGTCAAAAACACAGAATGATTTAGCCTAACTACATGAGTAGTTAAACATATCATACTCCAGCTGTGAACACACTAACGTAATAACACAGCACAGAAGTTGTTAAAATGTTGTTCTCTCATATCAGCTATGTGGAGAGTTCCTGTGTTCCCTCATTCCCTTGAACATGAGCAGACACACACATGCTCCTTGTATGTCAGGGTGAAGCCCCATAGGTCAGTATCAACCTCAGTCTGAGCTTAAACTGGCAAGAAGCAGTACACACAGCACAGAGACATCTGCCTACAAAAAAAACAGGCTCCAGTTTCCACATTGGCTGCTATATATAACCTATCGGTTCCAAAACAGGGTGCATACTGAATGCAGAGTAACAAGGCTGCCAACCTAAGTCTCAGAAAGTGTCCTGAGAAGTAAAATATACGGCTGTAAAAGAAAGAATAGGCATCCTAACCTCCAGATAAGAAATACACATTAGGTGGACCAGCACTAAACACACTCCTGACTAAATATTTTTACTAATGCGTTTTGCTGTACTGGTACACAGAGAAAAACACACACAGATGTGACACCACAGTACTGATGTACCAAGTGAGACTAATTACCTGCAAGCTGAAACACTGTGTAAACAGTCCCTGCATTCTGTAGAGGGTGTAATGTCATAGCCAATCTCTTCCATATTATATGCCGACCTGGTGCATGGATTTTGCAATGTGAAGATATTCCTACGTTCCCAATTTGCAAATTTCAAAGGGGGGTTCAAACTCGCATTGAAACTACTGGGCTATGTGCCCGATTGGTAGAAAACAAATCTGGGCAGGGGCGGTTCAAACCCCTAATTTTACTATGTAGCTACATGCCTGCCTTTGAGTTAATATTACTGTACAATGCAATTTCGTAAGCGGTTTCTTTTGGACCAATCATTTAAACAGAGATAAGCCTCTTAAAAAGTCAAAACCTTCCTTTAATTAACATTTGGTGATGCTTAACTGCACCATCATAATACATTCATTATGCATTTATAGAACATTCATAAGCAGCATGCAACTATACCTTAACATCATAACATACACTTACATGCTGCTTATGAATGTTCTATGAATGCTTTATGAATACATTATGAAGATTACACTTAATGTTCAATGAATGCATTATAAAGGCATTATGAAGGTGCAGTTTGCTTGCGTTTTATGCCTATATATATTAAGGCTTCTAATTTACTTATTAACATCAGGGAGCCAGAAGAACGTTTGTCATTTGGTTTGTACAAAATGTCCTTTACACCAACACAGATCAAGTCTTCTTTTTAAAATTGCATGAATTTTATAGTTGATGTGTCTGATATGATTGGCAGCGTATCTACAGGGTCCATGTGTACCGAAGTATAGTGAGATATAGAGCCAAAGGGGATGCCTGCATTGCCTTCTGATATGCAATGTACACAGAGAAACCCTCCTCCTGTTAACCGGAGCACGAGGGCAGTAAGTTCTCAGCACTGTGCGCCTCCTCCACTCACCTCCCTGAGGACAAAGAGGGCCTCCTGCAGTCTTGGTTGTTATCTTGCTCCAGTCACTGGCACGCTTCCTGTGTACACAAACAATGCTTAGATCAAACAACCTTCTGTGCACAAGCTGTCACGGCCCAGACTCTTCCCCTCCTATCCTTGCACCTGCTCCCCACTCGCACCTGTAGATTTTTGAAGGGTTCCTCCCACTCGCAGGAGAGTTGCACAGGTACCTCCTCGCGGTTCCGTAATGTAGCTCATCTCATCCCCTCCACCAGTAAATACGATGGTGCAGCCACCTTTCGAGCACACACGCTCCAGGGTATTGCCTTAGGTTCAGTGCTGGCAAGCTCCGAAGGCAGCATGCACACATTTTTCCACTCCTAATAAAGGACAATCTGCTAGACTAGAGGTCCAAATTTATCTTAGTGCAGGAATTTGTACAGAACATGAAAATGCATTTAATAAAAGTCTAACAAGGTAAACACATACAGTACACAGCCATACTGACCCATCGCCCCGTCCGTTTCTTTCTGATAGTCATATACAGTAGTACCAACCGAAAACAAACCATGCCAACACACAGTCCCCTCTAAATCATGTCAGCTGGAAACTGCCCTTTGAGATTCACCTGAACTCTTATAAAATTAGCTGACTTTAGTAGTAACAATCACTAATACTGTCCAACTCCATCTGCAAGTCATTTCGAGCCACAGCACCGATGGCTTTCACATGAGCAGAGGCAGTGACTCAATGAAAGTATTTTATAGTAAAATTACTTTAAAATGAACTTTGAGAACATTTAATCTTCACAATTGTTCCATCCATCCAAACACTTGTCCTATTCAGGGTAACAGGGGGTCCATAGCCTACAGGCACAAGGCAGGGAACTCAGGATGGGGCACCGACCCATTACAGGGCACACTCACACACTATTCACTCATCCAAGCACACCTATGGCACATTTGGCAACTCCAATCAGCCTCAGTATGTTTCTGGACTGTGGGGGGAAACCAGAGTACCTGGAGGAAACCCCACAATGACACAGGGAGAACATGCGAACTCCACACACGGAACCCAAGCAGAGACTTGAACCCAGATCCCAGAGGTCTGAGGCAATAGCACTAACCACTGCCCCACCATGCCGCCCCCATTGGCAAAATTATTAAGATAAATGCTAGATGATTCATACATCTGTCATACAGTCTGAAGGCAGCTGGCAGAAAAGATCCCCTGCAGCTAAGACTTCCGAGAACAGAGTAGTTGTACAAGTGAAATACTGAATGTGCTATTTTGTTGGTCAGGGAATTATGCATGTGTAATGGGTCTCTCTACAGTACGACCTCTCCAACAGAGATTACCATGAATACCTCGTGCAGACTGCTGGATGGGAGGCATTGCTTGTTGTTCCCATAAAAAGTAATCCTGCTTCGATTTTTGCAGTAGGCTCAGCCACCTGCAAAGGAAGTGGCTGATATTCCTTTCAAAGCCTTTGACAGCAGTGAGAGGAGTTTCATGAAGAGCCAGTGGATTTGTGGAATGATACCATGCTGGTAGATCCAATTTCTCAGGCAGCCATAACTTCTCCTATTGTCGCCATGACTCAGATTTCCTGCTGGTTGCCTGGGGTGCTGCCGTGTCCTTCAGGGCACCGTCAAAGAACTTGCTCTGGTTCTTCATTGGTTCCTCTATGACTTCTGGAATCAGGACACCCTCCGATGAAGAAAGAAAACTTGTCTGTTGTGTTCCCCCTCTTCAAAACCAGGAACCTGGACTTTGCTGGCTTAAAGGACGCACAAGCTCAGTTAATGAGCTCTTTAAGCCCTTGAGGAATCCATCTGCAATCCAGGCATGATAATGTCATCACTGTCAGATCAATCCATGAATGCTTTGATGGGGGGGGGGGGGGGCTGCCAGATCCCATGCTTAGTCAGCAGGTTTCTGAAATCCACTTCTGCTGACATGACCAGCATATCTCAAACGAAGTTGAGCAAGATGAATGAAATGGTGTATCAAGTGATGATCCCCTTCTCCAACTGATGCCATGCTGATATTCTTCAAGGGATGAATCTCATATTGAAGCTGGTGTAAGAGTCCAAAATTAGATCCTCGATCTTGCCTGGAACATGTTGCCGGTTCAGTGTTTTTTCCATCGGCTTGCTGGATACAGAACCATAGGCGTTGTAAGATCGAGCTCCAAAACAGTCTGGTCTCCTCTCCACTTCTCTGATCAAATGGGCGAATCTGTGTGTGCTCAATACACCTTGACACTCTTAGGATACCCTCTTCTGTACTGAAGTGTCAATATAGGAGTTCAGGCATTTGGAAAGAATACTGAAATTATCTGGCCTTCCACACTGAAGAATGAGATGACCCTGAACTGCTTGTTATTGCTTGAGTTTTCCTCCCTTGGAATTTGGACATCCTACCTTCCCTTACGCTTATGATGATTACTTTTATTACCTGGAGCTGCTGATCAGGAGGTTTCACAAACTGTGCACTCCGGGTCTGGCTCAGCCTACATTTCACTAGGTTTCATTCCCGTGCACAGTTCACATGGGTTTTTGCAGACCCCATACAGGCCTCTGTACTCGCAGTTGATGTTCTGTTGTCTTGGGTCATTTCCAGTGTTTCCATCTGGATGAACTGCCCGTCTTCCCCTCATTTGAGGTACCCCAAAGGGGTTTAATGTAGCTGATTTGGGTTCTCCCGCACAGAATCTGCAGTTTGAGGTGCTAACCCCTATCACCCCAACTGCCATCTCTCTGAGCTGTCCACTGTGACTCCCACTGTAACCGTCTGTGTGTAGTGGTCATCCAGCCTGCTGCAGGATGTCACTGACCTGACAAATACACAGTCAAAAACAGCTAAGACTGGTTTCCCTGCTGCTGCCATTTTGACAATTAATATTCTGCTTTTGACCATTACAAGTAGAACTTCTCCCCCAAAGGACAAAGGCACATGAACTGTATATATGCCATAACAAGACATGTTTACAGCAGTAAGAGATGATTCAGTCTAGATTCTTAACAGTATCACTACAAGACAACTGTACTGATAATTAGGGTGTGTTAATGAAAATCTGAATTTTGCACCTCCTCAACTTGTCCTTCCCAGTATTACAATATATCCACAGTACATCATCTGCTGAAGGTTTGTGGTGCTTCAGAAGTGGAACCAGTGATGCATGCAAGTACCTAAAATATATCATTCATCATCGCAAATTACCTTATAGCAGAATAAAAGTTCCTTTTTGTTTTGAGTTTACAGCACAGAAAACATCAAATAAGAACCATCTGGAGGGGTTGTGCAAGGCCCTGCCCATTTGGGCTCCAGTAATGTACCTTCTATGGGAAAAGTTCTGGTACTGTACTGCAAGCATCACCTCAAATCCAACAGCAGCAGGAACAGCCTGCAAGATTCTGGAGCCCTATTTATGGTTTGCTTTTCTTAAGTGATTATACACAATTTGGACTCAAAATAAAAAAAAAATGTTTTTCTACTGGAATGAACATATTAAAATTAATGGGATAATGACTTTTTCTGACCAATTTTCATTACTGCAAATTACCCTGAGTCCTTGTTAATTTTCACCAGCACCTGGCATCATTTGCACCTGTTTCACAGTTAACATTTTATTTGCATCAAACCACATGCTTCTACACCGACCACCCATATAGCCATCAGTGTTATTATAATTATTTATGATAGTATACCAGTATACTGGTGACCTCCGCCACTCCAAAGCACCATCATGGACTTTCATGCTAAGGAATCCTCTCCTCTTATCTGACTGCAGTTTAAATCATTAGGCAAGTCAAGATAAACCTACATCAAGTAGGGAAAACAGGTAGTGTGGTAGGGTCTGAGATGACCAGGAGATCCCAGTAAGGAAAAGAGGTAGTGTCGTAGGGTCTGAGATGACCAGGAGATCCCAGTAAGGAAAAGGGGTAGTGTGGTAGGGTCTGAGATGAGCAGGAGATCCCAGTAAGGAAAAGGGGTAGTGTGGTAAGGTCTGAGATGACCAGGAGATCCCAGTAAGGAAAAGGGGTAGTGTGGTAGGGTCTGAGATGACCAGGAGGTCCCAGTAAGGAAAAGGGATAGTGTGGTAGGGTCTGAGATGACCAGGAGGTCCCAGTAAGGAAAAGGGGTAGTGTGGTAGGGTCTGAGATGACCAGGAGGTCCCAGTAAGGAAAAGGGGTAGTGTGGTAGGGTCTGAGATGACCAGGAGATCCCAGTAAGGAAAAGGGGAAGTGTGGTAGGGTCTGAGATGACCAGGAGATCCCAGTAAGGAAAAGGGGAAGTGTGGTAGGGTCTGAGATGACCAGGAGGTCCCAGTAAGGAAAAGAGGTAGTGTGGTAGGAGATCCCTAACTCATTTTATTGCAGTTCATAGGATGAAAAGGGAATTCATTTTCATTTGGATTTAAGTGCTCACTGCTAATAATACTAAATACAAATCCAAGACCAACACGGCAATACACGTAGAAATTCTGAAACGTAGTTTAGGAGAAGGTGCTGAACTACGTGCCTGCAGATGAACATACCTCCTTGTGTGCCCAGATGTCTGATGTAGCCCAGCAACACCCAACTTAAATGAGGCAGTAAAACAAAAAAGATATTTTAATTTTGGACTTGAAAGGAAATACACAGACAGGCTCATGCTGTGCTGTGAGGGCATGAAGATCTGGCTTCTGCCTTTTTAATTCCATTTACTATAAAGGGGTTAAACCACAACAAAGCCTGTTCTCCCCGACACAAATGTCCCTGCTGCCTAACCCAACACCCCCATTTTCTCTCCAGATGAATTCTTGGGGTTCATCTGCATACCGATTAAGCGAAGGCAAACTGTTTTACAATGTTTTATCTTGCATGTGAAGGTAAAATTTTCAGCATAATTCTGAACTGAATGACAAAGCCTCCATAAGCTCTTCCAGAAGCTTCTATAAAAGTCTCTTTGACAGAGTTAGAATCAATGAGCCATTAAGTCAGCAAAAGATAGCATCTGTGACATTGGCCATGACCCCTGTCATTAATTGGGCATGCACTACAAAACAAGGGCATTTCTTATAGCTACATCT